AAAAAAAAAAAAAAAAAATGAATTACCTCTAAGGGTGATGAATAAAATAAACATATTTTTAGGCTGTAGATTATTAAGGAAGTTTAATCATTTATATTAAATTCAGAAAAAGCATCTTAATACTTTCAACAATGATACCATCGGGTGAGTGCAAGAATGAGTCTTTTTAGAGTAAAAGTAAAAAAGACCCACCTGAAAAAAAATGTCAGAATTCTGTGTAGAATTATTTCTGTAAAAATTTCAGGAAATCCATATGTCATGACATATGCTTTTACATATGGCATCAAATAAAGGGTTTTAGCTTGGTCCTACAGTTCACAGCAGTTAGGATGTATAAAATTAATAAATTAGTGGTTAAAGCTGTACTGAAAACCTTAAAAAATAGTTAAACCTACATATTTTTTAAAAACATAAATGGATTTGAGAATGTTAAGAGTACGGGAGAGTTAAAAAATAATGTATTGAAATCAAAAGTCTGTGCATATAATTAATGAGAATTTAGTTTCACGATTTAATTAAATAAGATTTATAGATAAGGTAAAAGCACCAGTACGTGAACACTTTTTCCATAAAGTCTTTGTTTTCTCATTTTATTGAATTTCTGATTTGCATAACAACAAAACAGTCATTGCGCGAGTATGTTTATATTTTTTCCTTTAAAAAAAAAAACAAAAAAGTTTTTCTAGGTCATGTGTACAATTAATAAATTAATTTTAAAGTTTTTTTACCAATGACCCAGTAGATGAACAGCGTGTTCAGGTATTGGTACCGATACGTATTTTTGACCGAGTACTTGAACATCCCATGTTAATTAAATGGGAGAGAGGTTATGTTAGCTGCCTTCTACTGATTTCTATTTTTATTATGTATTGCAAATAACCAAATCGAAAAATTTCTTTCTAATTTCATTGGTAACATATTATGAAAACTATAACGACTGGCTTGACATACTATTATTATTGATTAACAGTGATTTCAATCGTTTTTATGTATTCGAGTACTGGGCATAGGTAAAACCTAGTGGTACCAGTACCTGAACAGTCTCACAAGCCACCTCATACAAGTTGCACGAATAAATAATTTCTTTCTCGTTGATTATAATAAGACTTACTGAAATATAAATTTTGTTTCATCTAAAGAACGATCAAAGGATATCAGAAAATTTTTTTTTCATCCACTCAAATTGAAAATAGTTTATTCAAGCTGTTCAATCTACTGGTGCAATTTTAGAAAGTGTTCACGTACTGGTGCTTTTACCTTAACATTGAAGCCAGAGCGATGAGAGTAAGTCAGTTAAATTCACTCAGTTGCAGAGTCAAAAGACTCAAAAGAGAAAAACTCGTGTCGTCGCTTGCTTTAGCTGTGCGCTCAGCTATACAGCTATATAGCCGACATTTCCACTCCTCTCCTCGTAGGNGATAATTTTTTTTTTTTTATTAAAAAAATGCTTGTAGTTATACATCAAGTGTCATGACACGTTTATGTAATTATGTAAGCTCATGTATAACGTTTCAACACTTAGACATAATTTTTACAAATAGTATGTACAAGACAAGGTAAGTAAAATTATAAAACAAAATATTCGTAACTTATTAAAGAAATCAACACATTAATATTTAGTGAGTTAAGCTTCGAGTAATGATAATTAAAGTATTATTGAGTATTTAAAAATTACCTAACGACACGTCTTGATCATTGTTAACGTAATTCACTATTACATTATTATGGTCGGTAAGCAACACTGTTTAATACATTAATCAGTCCCGAATTGCACGAACTTTTTTTTGATTGGTGTATCATTAATAACTTACTTCGCTACAAGTATTTATTCTTGGAAATACGTCTCGTCGAAAAATATGGATTGCCATAAAAGCTCATGCTGCAATTTCTCAATATTTTTCTACATGTATATTTTATGATTATTTCAT